TTGCCTTTAGGAGTAGGGTTTACCACAGCCCAAGGGAAGGGGAAAACGCACAGCACCATGGCAGATGCGTCTCCAAATCGATCCACGCAGGCTCATACTTGGAACCCCCAAGAGGCCATGCTGCATCCCACATCATGGAATAGGAAGCCTGGATGGTGGCTGTGGAACCCCATTTCTGGAAGTCAGGGATGTGCTCGGCCAACAGTTGATTTTGTAACGAGTAGGACGAGACGCCATCTGAAGATTGGGGGTCGATACGGCTTGCGGGACGTCTGAGGTTCTTGCTCCGGGCCTTGCGAATCCTCGAGACCAGAGGTTTAGGGACCACCATTCTGTTTTTCTTGGTCGATATGACGGGGTTGTTTCTCCTTCGGGAGTTTCGGTAGTTATGCGTTGGGCGAATGCCCTCTACGAAACAAGCTGCGAGACTCCAGCGAGACGTTTTGCCTTCAAGTCGTTGGAATGCCTAACCGAACAACGTTAACCAATTTCGCTTCTATGGACGTACGCAGGCGCTGTCACTTTTCGTTTCTGTCTTCTTTCTAGTTTCTGAAAAACGGAAAGGCAGAAAAACAGAGAAAGATTCTGGAGGCAATCCGAGCAGGCTGCAAACATAAGAACTAACCTGGTTCAGACTAAGGTTGGAGCGGACACTATTCTTCCAGCCTCGTTGCCGTTCCTTTGGCTTCTCGGTGTTATCTATGAACCACTGATAGAGGTCCTTTAACGTCATTTGATGTGCGTCTTGGCTGATGAGCGCCTTGTATATCAGATCCGCATACGTTTCTTTCTTCTGTTTCCTGCCGGTCTCGGCTTGAGCTGAAGCAGGTGACGCGCTGGACCTCATGCCTATGTCGTCGAAGACCGTGCTCGAGGCAAGTTGCAAAGGGAAGATATCTGGCACACAGCAGGATTCCAAGGAAAGGCTACCATCCCAGTCGAAGGAGTCGTTGCCGAAGTCATGGCTAGCGTCGAGGGTGGCTTGGAATGGGAGAAGCTCTTCCCCATCTCTGATAGATGTTGACTCCCGAGGATATGAGGCAGCATCCCGTAGTTCCATTGTTAGCGGCACTGCCTGGGAACCGCAAGATAGACTGGGCGACGTGGAGTGAGGACGCGGCCGATGGACAGTGAATGAAGTCGTAGAGACGCCGGTGGCGCACTGTGACCGCCGAGAACATTGCCCCTTATCAACGCTGCTGCCGCGCCACGGTAGAGCAGCAAGGAGACGCTACTACCGAGGCTCTTTCTGCGACTTAGGGTAACAGAAAGGAAATTTGACGTCTCGGACGTGCCAACATCCATTTTGGTCAACATAGATTCTTTTGGCGCAACCTACTCTCGGATTCGTCGCCGAAAGACGACGTGGAGTGGGTCCAAGGCTGGAAGGAAGACCATGCCGCGCCCGACTTGGAGAAAGAACGTAATTTTACTGTCTATATACATCACCTATGGCGATCAATGAGGGAATTCACAGTCAGGAGTCTTCTCGCACACGTAAGCGGAAGCGTCGAGGGTCCCAGCAACGCCCTGTATAGAACCATCACCCTTCTGGCACCGACATCTCCAATTCAACTGTCCAACAACTTGCGAGATGTTGTCAACACCTTTCGACGGCCGGTGCGATTTGTGGAATGCAGCAAGGGAACCCAGGCATGAAGTCACTGAGGATGCCATCCAGGTTCACTATGGGCGAGCGAGAGACCTCTGTCGGAGAAGTGGTAAGCACACAGAGGGAATGATTCGAACCGACGTCGTCTAATCGGCCATAGGCTTGACGGTCTACGACATCCTCCACCTCTCGCCCAACTTCTGGCGATTTCACTTCGATAGTACGTCACCCTCGATCGCAAGGGAGTGTCTGATGCTAAGCCACTTTAGTGATCGCCGCTCGAGATATGACTGCATTCGTGATCGCGACGATTCACTTGAACCTCTGTATCGGAACAATCGGCCGTTTCGCAGATGAGCGACCGGACTTAGCACCCCTCCTCGAAGATTTGCGACAGTTCAAAATTTGCGGCGAATTCATGTTGACGGAAATCGATCACGGCCTTGATGCGAAAAACCTCGACACGACGGCGACGATGCTCGACGATGGATCTTTCGTGCTGCACACGCCAGCTTTCGGGGCCGCCAAAGCGATGCCACCAACCACCCCTCTGGCCGGGATTCCTCGTATAGCAGTGGTTTTTGCGCGCCTTCTGGTCGAGGGTGAGAGCCGGGGCGTCAAGCCCTTCATCGTTCCTATCAACGACTCGACCCGCATGCGCCCCGGGATCGTGTCGCGGGCCCTGCCGGTCCGGCCCGGCACGAAACCGTTGGACCATTCCATCACGACATTCAACAACGTCGAGCTTCCTGCCGAAGCGCTGCTTGGTTCGTCCGCGAAAGCCGAAGACGAGCGGGCAGAGTTCCTGGACCAGATCTGGCGTGTTTCCGTGGGGACGTTGTCATTGTCCATTATGGGCGTGTCCGCCTTGAAGGTGGCCGGGTGCATCGCGGCCATGTACAGCCAGCGTCGGCAGGTCGGGGTCGGGAATCACGGGAAAGTGGTGTCTATCATGAGCTTCAGCACGCAGCAGCGCCCCATACTCAAGGCGCTGGCCTTCGGGGAGGTCCTGCATGCTTATGGCGAATGGACCGTCCAGCAATTCATGAACCCCGACGCCACCGCCGACGTCCGCAGAGGTCTTGCGACCGCATTCAAAGCACTGGTTGTGCGTTCATCTCGATTGCTCGTCGAGCTTGCCGAACGATGCGGGTGGCAGGGGTTATATGCCCACAACCAGATCAGCGAGCTGGCGTCTACGTTCCAGGGGAATTCAGTCGCAGAGGGTGACACGCTGGTCATCAGCATCCGTATGTGTTTCATGCATGACTTGAGATCCACCGACTAACTCATGGGACAGGCCTGGCGTCGGAGCTTCTAGCACAGAAATACTGCCTGCCTCAGCCGGGCGATCGAAGTAGCCCTCTGGCCATGTACGAGAGGGGAGTATTCGACGAGATGGCGGCGAGAATGGCCGCACTACCCAGCGGTCACCGCAGCAGCGAGTTCAATGCGGCGGTCCTTCCTTGCTGCCGAGCTATGGTGGAGGCTATCGGACAACGCATGGCCTACGAGGCAGCACTGCATTCTGGTAATGTGATTCCGGAAGTGCTCGATCTCTTCGAGAAATGTTGTATCCAAGAAGACGCTAGCTGGCACATCGAGCATGGCAATTACAGTCGGACACGGATCTGGACGGCAGAGGAGAGGGCGTTTACTAATTTGATGCCTCTGTTGCCGGACCTGGTAAAAAGGACCAATGCGCAAGACTACATCACAGCTCCCATCGTCAATGGCGAGGCCTTGGAGAATTTTCTTACGCGGTTGCCTATCTATGGCAATGAGTGGGAGGACACAGGAAAGCCGCCTCGGAAGGCGAAGCTTTAGACGTCGGTGGATGAGAAGGTCAGAGCTACGATCAAGGTGTATGTAGACGGCGCCAGCTGATCAATTGCCGATGAACATCTCGTCGTGGCCAATATTTGAGGCGATAGAAGGACAACGAAAGATGTACTTTTGCAGGTGTGTTTTATCAAGATTCAGTGAACGTCCGTAATGCCCAGATGCCGATTTGGAAGTAGGCTCAATAGTTAACAAACAGATTCAGGCAACAACTCAGGCAACGTGTGCCCGAGGAACCGGTATCGTATCCATGATTTCGCGATGTAGAAAAGTGCGCTGCCTTGCCTGAGGCTTACTTATGATAAACAGTGGCAAAGACCAACACATTCAAGATATCAAATAGTTCCGTCTATATGACATTCTGACTCAGCGGATGGCTGATGCGAGGTAGACGATACATCTTTTTGGTCACTCTGGGCACAAGCATGATAACAAGGCACTCAAGAGTAAATCTTTCAACTTGGGAAACTGGTCATTTTTGACACGGTTGTTAGAATCTAGCCGACCGACCAGCACACCGCGATATCACTATGCATCTTTATCGCTACCTTCCTGACCGGGTAAGGAAAAGCCTCGCTCGCCCCTAGCCTTCCGCCTGTCGGACATGTGGAGTACCGCAAGATGAGCGAATGTCATAGCTGGGCCGAGAGTGACCCCGGCTCCCAGCGACGTAGCACCCATGACCGATGCCGATGAGTTGCCGGCCGCGTATAGACCGTCAATAGCATTACCACGTGTATCTACCACGCGCTCATGTTCGTCCGTCAGCAGGCCGCCCTTGGTGCCCGCGTCTCCCGGAGTCACCTGTATGGCGTAATATGGGGGTTGATCGATGGTTCCCATGTTTGGCCGCTTTGCGCTTCCGTCCCCGACGAAGAGGTGGTACTTGCTGCGGCCTTTACCGAACTGATGGTCGACTCCGTCGTCGCACGCCTGGTTCCACCTCCCAACCGTACGTAACAGACCGTTGGCTTCGACGCCGATTTGAGCTGCGAGGCTGGCCAGGTCATCTGCCTTGAAGATGTGTCCGCGAGCCAGGGCGTCAACCGGCTCGACCCTAGGGCCAAGCGACCCTAGAGTGTACCGATTCCGGTAGTTCCAGTCAAGTATCAACCAGGCAGTGGTGTCATCGCCTCGAGACCGATGATAGAGCGCACGACCCACGTCGCCGTACGGGTCGGCCTCGGAGAAGAGTCTTGACCCTTGCCGGTCGACAACAATGCAGTGGGGCTTGCACAGCTCGAACAAGGCGGTCGTGAGCCTCCCGCTTCCAGGATCGATGATTGTGGGGATCCACCACGCTTCGCCCATGAGCGACGTGGCCGCACCGACCTTGCACGCTGCTTCCAGAGCATCTCCCGTGTCACCTTCAGGTTGTGTCAGCGTCCACTCGGTCCCGATGAGGGGCAGGTGTTCCCGCCGCAGGTCTTCACGTCGAGCGAAACCACCGGCTGCCAGGAGGATCCCGTGGGGAGCGTAGACCTTGAACACCCCAGAATCTTTCGACTCCACAACAGCGCCACAGACGGCTCCCCCTTCGACGAGCAGATCCTTGAATTTGGTGTTCACCTGAACCTGGACGGCCGTACCCCCCTCACGAAGGCAAATGTCTAAGAGCTGTGCGACGAGTGAAGCGCCCATGCAGGTCGGCCTGGTCATGGTTTTGCTCCGGAAAACCTCCCGCAGCTTCATCCAACAAACTGTGAGAAGGTCGATGGCGGACGCGTAAGGCTTGGTCAGAATGGCGAAGTCGTGAAAGTAAGCCACCGGTGCCGAGTGTCCAGGCCGGCGCAGGCGATCAGCCCAGCATCCCAACGTGCCGGCGTCGAAGGGGCAGGGGTCTAGCGTCCGCCCGCCTGCCTCCATGGCACCCGAAATCTCCGGGTGATAGTCGGGGATTGGAGAATGTCTCCACCGGAGGCCTAGATGGCGGAAGAAATTGACCATCGCGGGTCCGCCAGCCAGGAAGGCGTCGATCCGCGCGGCGGTGGATTCCGGCCCGGGGCCTCCGCTAAGCGCAAGCGAATCTTGCAGATATTGTCGGGCAGCGTCGCGGGAGTCGTTACAGCCGGCTGCTTCGGAGACCGAGTTTTGGGGAATCCATATGGTGCCTCCAGAATACGCTGTTGTGCCTCCAATTTTATCGCTTTGCTCGATAACCAATGTGCGAAGACCAAGTTGCCTTGCTGTCGCAGCGGCTGCCAAGGCAGCGGCGCCGCTACCGACCACAAGAATATCTATTGTGTGGTTGGGTGTCGATTCCATAACTCGTGATGCTGACCTGATTCCCTGTCACCTCATGCGGAGGTGCAAGGTATCACACAAAGAAAAGAGAAATGCTGAAGGCCGGGGCTGAGGACAAAGTATGACTTGTAGCGACGGGGTGAGTACTGGTGTCTGATTTGGGGTCAAGGTCTTGAAGATCTGGATGCTCAAGTTATGTACTTAGACGCGCTACGTAGGCGAGATTGCTTGCACGGGACACGCATCTCTCGGAACCATTACTTGAGTTTCTGCAGTGTATCCTCCGAGCTGAATCTGAATCAGTGATTGCCAACCTGGGCTGCGACGGGCGACGTCGCAAAGTTGCGATATTCTTTTCGAATCTCATCAAAATGATAATTAAGCATAGGATGAATTCGTGCTGCAACACCAAACCCACTTTTCGCGGCCTCTGCAATGTTGAGCCGGCAGTGACGGATATCGGAAGCGTGTAAGAGCCAGAATCAGCGGAGCAACAATAATGGCACTGACTCTTATTAGAGGGTTAACCGTTTTGATCAGATATTGGATACAGCTGGATATCATGTCCGGCCATTGCGAAACCGCAGCATCTTTTCCTCACGTGTCGAATTGAGCGTCGTCCGCTCGTCAGCGAACTACATTGAAAGCCACTTTGAAAATGGTGAGCCAGATAGAGAATCGGCGCCGAGTGGTGGGTGACTGGGATTTCCTGCAACTGGCCCCCGCCACCCCTTCGCAGAAGCCGACCCGCAGCCATGGGCTTTCATTCGACGGAGAGGCTACAGTACCCGGTAGGTCTGGCAAAATGACAGCTGATCTGTCCCGGCTCGTGTGCAAGGGTCGGTTAGTTGGTGAACAGTACTAGCATAGCCGTCTCGGGCTCCGCCGCCCGTCCTCAGAAGAGAAGAGAAAGACCACGCCGATTGTAGACGGAGTCGCCGTCAAGGCAAGCGAAAGCGAGAGCCAGAAGTTGATGTCGGGTGCCGCTGTCGGGTGCCGCTGTGGTAGGGCAAGACAACGCCGCGGACCCACCACTGGCCTCGAGTGGACAACAATGCGAAACGGACCATCTTGGAGCTAAAGCCGCCACCGCAGGCACCGCAGGCATGCAGGGAGGCTTGGAAGATACTTTCTTCGACCGAGTCGACAGCGCCGACACCATCGACAACCAAGATGCCGATTCCGACATCGACGGTATACAAGTGGCCAT